TAGCCAAACAAAAGAGAACCGAATTTTTGGAGTGGGGTGTGGGTGCGTGAAGAAAACACCCACACCCTGAAAATCTTTAATGTTGCTTTACTTTCAACAATTATTTATTGATTTATTAAGAGTTACAGTTCTTTTTGAAATAACATAAAGTGTAATGTTAAAGACTTTTGTTGTATTCTTTGACTAAATTATAGATATCATCCTAACGTCCAATAATAGTACCCAAAATATAGGATGATAATGCAACTACAATGTACCATGGTGATATTGAATGAAAAGTGTTTCTCAAAGCCATAATACTTTTCGATAACACATTGTCTCGTGTAGATTGTCGTGGTGGCGTCTGTAATGGTCGTGATGAAGGCAATGGATCTCCAAGAGCTTTCAAACGGCTGTAAATTGCATCTGCAACAATATCATCACTATCTTCTGAAATATTCATATACCCATCGATATCGAACACACCATCCATTGTTTTCCCGTCGACTGTTAATAACATAATTCGGTCATTTTGATATGTCTTCAATAGACTACGTATAGCACGTGATTCTAAACCACACCACTCTTTACGTGTATATTCATCACACATAAAAACGACGATTAGTCTTGTTTGATATCGATATATTGTGTATAAATAAAGATCTAAATTTGGACGAGCTAGTTCAGCTTTGTGGTATTTATCGTAGAAAATCCGTTTCTTCCCATCTTCCCTATTAATTTTTACACATAATTTTTCCGCTATTCGGCTAACCCGATCACGTATGTCGCCTAGAAAACATAGAATATCACTATTTTGTGAAACTAACTATGAAAATAGTGAGTGTAAGGTTGAATTTAACTTCGGAAGTTCTCTCCTCACAGACACTCCTCTTTTACTGATACCCCTCGTTTACAGAATGCGCTTCTTGAAAGCGGATTTTCTAATCGCAATTATTGTATCGTCTAATAAGGTAGAAAAAGAAAGAATCAAAATTCAGAGAATGCACTGTTTTTGTTTGGCTCATCGATCTTTTTGATTTTGATGACCTTCAAGTCGCTCGCGTACAAGATGGCAGCCAGAGAGGTGGCTTAGAAGGCTTTAGCCATCTCCTTGGGAGAAAATTTCTCTGCAGATGGTACGGTCACACTATTTTCGCTTAACGGAAAACTTATTTTGGCTATGGTTAGCGTCCATCTAAAAACAGTTAGCTCCGCCACCCACGTATAAAATTTCTGACTATGCGCCTGCTCGAGTATTTACTATTTTGTGTGAAAAACAATTGGAAATGAGTGCTGAAGTGTATAGTAAGGACAGTGAACCCGCTCAGTCTGATCTACAGAACGTGTAAAACATGTCGATATGATATACGGATTTTCGAAACATGATATCATGAATTTTTTAAGTTTCGTTTTAGATTTTTGGATCGTGGTATTATAGGTTTTTAGACCTTTGACTGAAGGATTTTAAAAGCATTCGGATTTCTTTAGTGGATTTGAAATTTCCAAGTCGAAACTGTTATTTCTCTTCCTGGAACCGGAGTAGATTGACTCCGTTATAGACGATCACAGAAACTTGAGAACGATGTTCTCTGAACCTTCGAATGATTTGTGACGAAAATAACAACCATCTTCATGTCTATGCGAAACGACTCCTTCATGTTTCACATATTAATTCCACAAGCATTGCACTGAAAGCCTTCTAATTTGTTAGTGTAGTAGTCCGATGTGGATTTCACATTTTAGCCTCATACAGCTACGCTAACAAGCTTTTCGTTTAGAAAAACTAATACAAGTGCAAAAGTGCATATCCTTTTATAGATGGTGAACCGAGTATCATCTGATGACATATTAGCTGTTAAACCATATATTTTTGTCATACATCAATCTATCATCCATTCAAAAATAAAATGTGCTCTACTGTTTTTTAAATAACTTTTGATGGCTTCTAGCTGCCGGTCTTGTACGTTCGCCATCGGAAAGAGCAATCTAGGGGAAGTCGATTCATATAAAATTTATTAAATTCGAAGATCTATTCGATTTAGTTTCCGAGTTCGTGTATTTTTTTGTCGCCTATTTTCATGAATTTTCACGACGACCTAGCATAAAATTACGCCAAAATGTAACGCAAATCTTGCTGTATTTTTTGGTAATGTGTTCATATTGCAACAGCAAATCATGAACAAAAGACATTAGGAAGAATGCAAATTTGATTTAAAAATTTTACTAGAAATACAGCGAGATTTGCCCTAAATTTGAGCACAATTTGGTGCTAGATCATAATGAAAATTTATGGAAATAGGAAACAAAATCGAATAGGCCTTCGAACTTAATTAATTTTAAATGAATCGAGGTCCCCTAGATTGTTCTTTTCGATGGCGAAAATCCAAAGTGTATTGCTTCAAACTATCGAAAATTATTCAAAAAATAGTAGAGCACTATACTTTGAAATAGATAATAGTTATACATACTGTTCATTTTTTATTTAGTGCACAGGCCATGGCTGATGATGAAAGAGTCAGATATTTAAGCTAAAAGTGATTTAACATTTAGGAAGGTTTTCTCGTAAGTGTTTTCATAATTGATTGGTGTATATTATTAAGAAAAAGAAAAATTTTATAATTCAAATACCTGGAAATGAGAACGCAACATCAAATCGATGTGTATATTTATCAATAAAATATGAATCCAGCAATTGTCCGAATCGATCAAAATCTTTTAAAAGATTCTTTTGATTGGGTGGTAAACGATTTGTATAATCAATTCTGTAACTTTCATAATTCTAAATCATAAAAAAAATACAAAAGAAAACATTTATATATGTAGATAACGACAAGCTTGGGCTAACAATTCAAGAACTACCCTTCAGTTGCAATGAATCTTCCACTTAGCAAAGTCTGTTTGGGTTGAAACTTTCAAGGATGAGTGGCCCTAATAAGAAATTCTTTTGGTAAACGTTTTAGCTCGATGTCGAGCTATACCGAAGTTCTGCCTCGCTGACAGTGCATTTATGACCTCCAGGAGGTTTCATCAGGCGCTACCATTTAGAGAGCTGCATAAAGAGGATGGTGGTTTCGAATTAGAGCCAGTATCTATGCAAAAACTTTTGTCTAACCAGAATTTTGAAATTCGCTTGTGTTCATTTCCTATGGGTATTTCAATGGGCTAGAGGTTAAAATAAACCTGAAAAAGCGGACACCACGATACTAAACTCAATTTTTCTCAGCACAAGAATGAATTATAAAAAAACTTAATCAGACAAAAAGATTTACTCTCACTTAGAGCTTCAAAATGAAAAGAAAACCGGGGGTCATATCTTGAATCATGTGCAGTTATTTTCAATTTTTCTGATTAAAAATCATTTTTTGAGAAGAATTTATAAGTTTAGATAACGTATTTTTGTGAAACACGATTGAAAATAAGCATTGAAGTTTAGCGGAAAAAAATTAGCTATCTACCGGCTTCACAGCCCGTGACAGACATGGCACAAAAATGATAGACGTGCCGAAATGTTTGTCACGATCTGTGCCACTAAGTACGGAGACTAAATATTTTGATAGAACTTCGAATTTTCTATCATCCTATATATTTATGTCTTGTCCTGAATTTAGTTGCCAAAGATTAATTCTAGTATTTAACAGGTTACCTTTTTAACAAACGCCAACAAACTGGTTTTGTTATTGTCACTTTTTTATTTGCTTCAGATTTATTATTACTACAAAAATAATTTTTGCACAAACAATTGTATTTTCGGATGGTCCTTTACATTCTCGATCGTCTTCCAGTTTTGAAATTACATAATATCGAATCTTTTTCTGAACCATGGTAAAAATATGAAGGAAACTGAGCATTCAACCATGCTCTGAAGAAAAATAAAAACGGGTTAGATCTTTCTGCTATTTTGCTAATCGAAATGTACCACTTTTTATTATGAATTATGCATATCGAAAATACAAAAAAAGTTAGAGAGATTATATTTTTTCGTAGTATACAATGGAGAAAGGAATAATAATACATATATAATTTTTAAAATCATTTCAGAAAAAATATCACTAAACATTATAATTGTACAAGAATATTACAATTTACTTACTTTTAGTTTCAATTCAAATATTTTTGCTAAAGTTGTGCCATCAATTTTTTGCATGGCAAAGAGCGAGTTATATAACCTAAAACAAATTCACGTTTTTAGGAACAACATTAATTTTTAGTTGTTTTAGCTATCTATATACTCATTAAGTCCATAAGACTGAAACCATTCCAACACTTCATCGTTATCCCATTCACTTATATCTGCAAAACATAAAAATTTAATTACAGCTCTTCTATAGTAAGACATACGTCGTTCTGAGGGCGGTTGTATATCGGTTGTTGTTGCTCTTTGTTTTTCGTTTTTATTTTCATCCGTGTTTGTTAAAGTTGTGACCGGTGTTGTTGATGATGGTGGAAGTAGATCATTTTCTGTG